TTTCAATGTGACGGCTCACATATGGTCCTTAAACATAAATGCTACAATTATTATAGAATATCTATAATTTTTTCCTTACTGATCTGTAGACAGTAAGTCTAAAATGCTCCTCTTGCTGTTTTTTTAATTTTATTTGTGCRTATTAGTTCAGCCTGTTGTTGCTCCTGAAACAAATCTAATTTAAAATGATAAAACAGAAGATGTGTTGAAGCTGCACTGTGAATAAAACCTGGGTTAATTAATGAAAAGACATTTTTGCATCAAGTTAAGACATTTTGAAACAGTCGAAAATTGTAATTTAATGTAATAATTTTGTTCTTAAATTATAACCATGAACTTTTTTCTTTTTATTGAAAAGAATGATGACGTCATGTGGTCCCTGCTGCTGCTGAGGGTCAGGGTCAGGGTCAGGGTTAGGGTTAGGGGTCCTACCTGCACGCGCGCCTCGGGCAGGTTGGTGCACATGGCCAGCCGCTCCCTCATCACCACATCCGGGTAGTGGGTCTTCTGGAAGGTCTTCTCCAGCGCCTCGAGCTGCTGCGCGGTGAAGGCGGTGCGGCTGCGGCGCTGCTTGCGGTGCTGGGAGCCGTAGCGGGCCTCCAGGATGATGTCTTCAAATGTGCAGCCGTTGGAGGAGACAAACACAGCCGTTAAACTGCATGTACTCACGTGACTGACGTGTCAGCACGCGCGCTCATTTACCAGCTAGTCGCTCGGCCAGCGTGAGCGCGTGCACCGAGGGCCGGTAGTCGGGCGCGTGCTGCGCGTGCTGGGCCTGCTGGTGCAGGTTGTACATGGCGCTCAGGGAGTTCATGGCGTGCAGGGAGTAGCCGTTCACCCCGTAGTGTTGCATGCTGGGAGGTCGGCACCTGGAGGGCGGGAAACAGCAGGGATCAGCGCACAGGCCGCGCGCTCTGACGCTGAAAAAACCCGGGAAATAAACACGTGCTGCCTCCTAAATGAGAGCCAGCAGCTTCCTTCTGACCTGAGGGCAAGAGAAGAGCCTAAA